ATGTATAAAGTGTGACATGTACATATGTAATGTATAAAGTGTGACATGTACATATGTAATGTATAGAGTGTGACATGTACATATGTGATGTATAAAGTGTGACATGTACATATGTGATGTATAAAGTGTGACATGTACATATGTGATGTATAAAGTGCGACATGTACATATGTTATGTATAAAGTGCGACATGTACATATGTTATGTATAAAGTGTGACATGTACATATGAGATTAATAAAGTGTGACATGTACATATGTAGTGTATAAATTGTGACATGTACATATGTAATGTATAAAGTGTGACATGTACATATGAGACGTATAAAGTGTGACATGTACATATGTAATGTATAAAGTGTGACATGTACATATGTAATGTATAAAGTGTGACATATGTAATGTATAGTGTGACATGTACATATGAGATGTATAAAGTGTGACATGTACATATGTAATGTATAAAGTGTGACATGTACATATGTAATGTATAAAGTGTGACATATGTAATGTATAGTGTGACATGTACATATGAGATGTATAAAGTGTGACATGTACATATGTAATGTATAAAGTGTGACATGTACATATGTAATGTATAAAGTGTGACATGTACATATGAGACGTATAAAGTGTGACATGTACATATGAGACGTATAAAGTGTGACATGTACATATGTAATGTATAAAGTGTGACATGTACATATGTAATGTATAAATTGTGACATGTACATATGTGATGTATAAATTGTGACATGTACATATGTGATGTATAAATTGTGACATGTACATATGTGATGTATAAATTGTGACATGTACTTATGTAATGTATAAAGTGTGACATGTACATATGTAATGTATAAAGTGTGACATGTACATATGTAATGTATAAATTGTGACATGCACATATGTAATGTATAAAGTGTGACATATGTAATGTATAAAGTGTGACATGTACATATGTAATGTATAAAGTGTGACATGTACATATGAGACGTATAAAGTGTGACATGTACATATGAGACGTATAAAGTGTGACATGTACATATGTAATGTATATTGTGTGACAAGTACATATGAGATGTATAAAGTGTGACATGTACATATGTAATGTATAAAGTGTGACATGTACATATGAGACGTATAAAGTGTGACATGTACATATGTAATGTATAAAGTGTGACATGTACATATGTGATGTATAAAGTGTGACATGTACATATGTAATGTATAAAGTGTGACATATGTAATGTATAGTGTGACATGTACATATGAGATGTATAAAGTGTGACATGTACATATGTAATGTATAAAGTGTGACATGTACATATGTAATGTATAAAGTGTGACATATGTAATGTAT